AATAGGGAAAAGAACCCACTCATAATCAGATAGTGTCGCTCCTAACGCTCGGCGGCGCTGGCCCTAGCGGCTGCGGCGCGCGCGGTAAGGAGAGAAAAGGAGGCGTATACCACGGAAATCGGCTGAAATGTTCAAACTAATTCCGAGCACTGCTTTAGTTAAATAATTATTTATAGTTTACTATATTTTTGACATCGAAATGTACTTTCGATCTGGTAATCAAGGTTCTCTCTGTCACAACTATCCTTGCACTTTCTATGGCAACATATGTTTCATTCAGTACTAATACTGAAGTTGTAAGTTAATGAAATTAATATTTAATTAAATCCACGTACGTATACACACACATGTACATATCTTTAAAAAAAAACGCATAAAATAATATAATAATTATTAGAATAATGTATCATAGATGAAAGATTTCATAGAACAACTTCAATATGTGTACAATACATTAAAAGATGAAAATGAACACGCTATCGTAGAAAAGTATGATTACAATGCAAAGTTGTTGCTAATTATAGTTACAGGTAACGCAATACTTTTAAATTCTTTTATAAGTTCACATTTTCTACTTAAAGATAAGCTTATAAAATCAATAAGAAATTTGAGCCAAGGTGCTACAGTAATTTATTTATATAAAATTTAAGTGTTTATTTATTGAACATGTGTCATATATGGATATGTATTAATAATGATTATAAAATAGCAGCAAAGTATTGAAATTTATTAAAATAACATAAAAAATATTGCAAAAAAATTATAAATTGCATAATATAAGTATATGTAATTTAATGATAATCAATTATATACATATACATATAAATAAATCATGATTAAATTTAAAAAATTATCAATTTTTATTGTGCGCGTGTTTGTGTTATGTGGCATATAACGTAAAATAATTTTGAAAGATTATAAAAACAGAATTAAATACCTTTCTTTCCAACATTTTTAGTAACGAGTTTTTGCGGCTCTATTGGTTTTCTTATTACTCAATGTTGGCCGAGATTTTTTGATGTGATTTTACCGATGAACAAATCTGGTCCACATAACATTCTATTCGTAACCGAATACTTTGTCGATCAAGAAAGATATATTGTTTTAATCTTGCTGCATATGAACGCCGCATTAGTTACAGGAGTCGCGGGACTATTAGCGACAGGAGCAATACTCTTTACGTATTTGCTACATATTTGTGCAATGTTTAGAATCGCCAGGTAAAACAAACGTAAAAGGGACTATACATATTCATATTTTGAAGAAAGATTCTGTAATTACCTTGAATAAATAAAAAAATAATGTTTATTTCATAAAACAAAACACACACTATTCAATAAATATATTTGCTTATTACAGTTACCGTCTAGAATGCACAATAAAAATTAATATTCTAGAAAATAATAGACTAAAAAGAAAAAATGTAATATGTAATAATATAATTAATGCGGTAGATATTCATCGGCGAGCTATGAAGTTTGTATCTATTTAACGATAAATGTGTAATATGTACAATATTTTATTGTCTTTAAAGATTGTCTGATCTTTTGATATATAGATTTGAGACAATGCTGTTGTGTCTAGTAATTGGGCTAGTGGTATTAATGAGTCTCAACCTCCTTCGAGTAAGTCTTAAACTTTATCTTTACTTTAGATATTTGCTTGGACTTCTGTGTTACCAGTTCTATGCACTTATTATTTATAAATTTATACTGAAATTTATATAAATCATCCATAACTTTCTCAATTTAAAGAAAAAAAAATTTTATAATTTATTGTAGAATGATAGTAAGAACAATAAAAAACAAATTAGTTTAAATTTTAATATTTGTGTTTTAGGTTTCTCAAATTATGTTATCCAAGAATGATACTACGGAAATATTGCCTTTCCTATCTGTAATATTGTGTGTATTATACATGTTCATAGGTCACAGTGCTGCACAGATGGTTATAGATCATAACAGTCATGTTTTCGTTACTGCGTAAGAAATTTTCTCAAAACACATAATTGTGATATAATTGTGCAAGAGACCGTCTTAAAAATTATTATATTAAAATTAAAGATTAATGCTTGTTTGTAAAATGGACAGCATGGGCAGCAAAAGTTATTTATAAATCTTGTTTTTCTGCAATTACTAATTGTTTGTTTATGTAATTTTTAGATATAATATTCAATGGTATATCGCTCCTTTGTACATACAAAAAATGATACTGTTCGTGCTACAAAAAGGAAGCAAAGATTTGACTTTATCCATCGGTGGAATATTTTTTGCATCTTTAGAATGTTTCGCTTCAGTAAGGAGCTGTATCCCATAATAGATAATATTTACATGATGGTATGTTACAAACTGTGTTATGATACAAGGGGATAATTTTTTATTACAGTTGACAAAGGCTTCAATATCTTATTTTACTGTCATGTACTCTATCCGGTAACGAGGTGGCAATAAATCGCATATAGTAAGAATATAATTAATAAAACGATATATTCCAAAAGTAAAAAAGTGTTTTAATAAAAAAATTTTAATAAAGCTTTAATTTTGCAGCATGTATTACGATTAAATATTTTGCTACCAAGCAAAGCATAAGAAATATACAAACAAAAATATTGATGTTTTAAATCTTCATAGCATGTCGAGCATAAGCATTTTAAATTTAAACAATAATATATACAATAATACATTTAACTAACCTAACATTCAATATTTTTAAGCAACTTTTCTTATACTCGTAATATATTATATATATTGATATATTTGATGTGAGAAATTACATAAAAATATCTAATTTATTTTTAATGCGTTTTGAATTTTTTAAAACTTAATTCTTCTGATGGTACATGATATATTTTCTATTAAGAAATTATAAAAATATTTAAGATAATATTTACATCAGGGACGATATGTATTCTATGTGATAATAAATACTAAAATAAAATTATATAAGCAAAAAAAAAAAAACAAAATACCTCAGATTGACTTTCGTGTAAATAGTTGTTTCATAAACGTTTTTCTTTCTTTTTCTTGTTTTTATTTAAAGAAAATATCTATTTATCTTTGGTAAAACTACAAATACAAAACTTAATTGATTATTAATCAATACTTTTTATCCACATTTTACCATAATTTACCACAGTTTACTATATTTTTTAAAAGGATTTACTATCAATTTTGTCGTTAAAAATATTGTTATAATAGCGCATAAATTTTTTATATTTAGCAATTTTTTAAATACTTAGAAATATAATTAATTTTTTGACGATATATACACTCCCTCTGTTATTACGTTTAAATAAGTAATTTTTTCTTATAGAATTATAAATATGTGCAACGCGTAAAATTCTTTCTATTTAAAAATAAATTATCTATTAATTAATAATAACTTTACGTATAACCGATATGTCGTGTTTAAAGTTGAACAAAATACTTCTCAAAGATCTGTATTTTAAGAGCGCTTATTGTAATAAAGTTCTGGTGAACTGAAAAAGACGAAATGCGCTTGCATTGACTTTCATGTAAATAATCTTCTTATACGAATTTTTTATCTTCTTTTTTTATGAGAAAAAGACATCTGTCTAATTTTTTCTCAGCGACAAATAAATTGCTAAAATGTATACATCAAATTATGAAATTTGTAAAATTGTGAATGGTCCGATCTTATAGTAATATTTTGCCTCATTTATGTATTATGCTCAATTATAGAAATTGTGCTGCTGTATATACTAAAAGAAAGAAGTTATAGAATATCTAATCGATTGACAGAGAAAAAAAGTGGTGGGAGTACGTTTGTTGGGGTTATTCCAGTTATACATATTTCCGACCTCGTGAAGGAACGATGTACATCGAAGAGCAATGTTTTAATCTTAACAAGATACTTCTGGTTGTTATAGGATTATGGCCGTATCAACAATCAAAACTTGACCGAATTCGATTAATTTTCTTCTTCAGTATTTTGATAACCGGCGTCTTGTTTCAAGTAAGAAAACATTATTATGTAAATAAATCTCTAATAATTTTAAACTTATATTTAAAAAGTCACTAATTATATAAGAAGACAAATTTTTAATATAAAAATGTTAATAAAATTATTGCTTTTAGTTCACTATATTTTTTACTTCAAGATGTACTCTCGATTTAATTATCAAGATTCTTTCTATTACACTTTTCTATGCAATGTTTGTGATAAAATATATTTCGTTCGGCATTAATATGGAAATTGTAAGTTAGTTTTCGTGACATTTATTTAATGTATATTGAAACATCTACGAATTTTTAGACTTAATAATTCTTTTTAAATACATAAAAATAATATATTATACATAAAAAATGTATTGTAGATGAAAGATTTATTAATGCAACTTCAGCACACGTACGACAAGCTAAAAGATGAAAATGAATATGCTATCGTAGAAAAATATAGCTACAATGCAAAATATTACACAGTTATTCTTACACGTACGAAAATATTAATTTTTATATTTAAAAAAGCATATTATTACTGAAAAAATGACATATTAATATGCACTCAACATGATATTTTTAATATTTTATCGCACAAAATTATAAGATTTATAGTTTTTTTCTTTCATTTATATATCTTTTTATTCCAATGTATAAATATATTGTTGTTTAAAAGAATTTTATTGTATAATTTTTTTAAATTTTTTCATTTATTTAGTCTTTGTTTAGTCATAGAAAATATGTGATCGTTTTCGTTAAAGGTTTGTGAGACCCTCTCAGCTATAAATTATGGGGTGTGTCTCTTTCACACGGAAAAAGAGAGGGAAAGAAAATATCAGGGTACAATCTTGGGGAAAATGTTTGTGGGAAACGACAACTGTTTTCTTTTACTCATTTTAATCATTATACATCTGTATAACTTAGAGCACTTTTGAAAAAAAAAACATTCTCAAGTAGAAATTTACATAATATATTTTTCCTAATCCTTTTAGTAATGGGCACTTTATCTATATGTAGTCAAATTATTGTTCAAAATTGGTCGATTATTCTTGATATTATTTTGCCAATAAATGAATCCCGACCGCGTAATATACAGTTTGAAACAGAATATTTTGTCGATGAAGAAAAATATTTCTTTTTAATTCTACTGCATATGAACGCTACATTATGCACAGGAATGATAGGAATGCTAGCGATAGGAACCATGCTTATTGCATATCTTCAACATACTTGTGGAATGTTTAGAATTGCCAGGTAAGATGAACGTAGAACACAGCCATAAACATTCATATTGTTAAAAAGATTGTATTGTTATCTTAAATGAATAAAAGATGACGTTTACTTTACAAAGGCAAAACATACACTATTCAATAAACACATTTGCTTATTATTTATAGTTATCGGCTTGAACGGGCAACAAAAATTAATGTGTTAAAAGATAATAGTTTCATGGAAAAAAATATGATACATGACATAATTTGCGCTGTGGACATTCATCGGCAAGCTATGAAGTTTGTATCTATTCAATGTACATGTAACTCGAGTAATAACTCCAGTAATAATTTTTTGTCTTTAAAGATTGTCGAAACTTTTGGTATCTAGATTTGAAACAATGTTGTTCTGTTTAATAGCGGTCGGGGTGGTTTCTTTGAGTCTCAATCTTTTTCGAGTAAGTTTCTACCTTAACCTTCAAATTTATCTTTCAATAAGAATATAAAATAATATAATTTTAAGGATAAGTTAGTTAAAAATGTCTATTTTTTAAGAAGACTTCGTTTGTTAGTTTTTGCAAATTTTATATAAACTAATTTATATTAATTATCTTCGTTAAATTACTATTATAAATTAAATTATTTTCTTATTTAAGTAATTTGCTATATTTAAAAACCACAATTTATCTACAATGCACGATATATTAATGATTAGGACATATGAGCAAATTATACAATACAAACATGAGCAAATTAAACATGAGAAAATTATACAATAATCATATAATATATCTGTTTTTTTAGATTTTTCATATTTTATCGTCTAAATTATATATCATGGAGATTTTCACTCACCTTGAATATGCATCTGCTATTGTAATATACATGTTCTCATCTAATTATGTTGGGCAAGATGTTATAGATCATAATAATCACGTATATACTACTGCGTAAGAAAAACATTTTTTTATGAAATACAGTTTTATAAAGCTTTGCTTTCTAAAGTTTTACATCGAAAACAGCAAAGGACTTATTTTTATAGAATAATTAGTGATATTTGTAATTAGTCAGGTCAGATTTGTAAATCTTTTAATGTTTGTTAAGTCATGAAGTCACGAATATTATCCACATAATATCGCAGATATAATATCGACTGGTATATAACTCCGTTGCATGTACAGAAAATGATACTCTTCTTATTGCAAAGAAACGCCAAAAATTTTAGTTTGAATGTCGGTGGACTGTTTGTCGGATCATTAGAATGCTTCGCCATGGTAAAAAATATCTTTTAATAGTGTATATCTTCAAGATGCTATATAAATTGCCTCTAAAAAAATATTTATAATTACAGCTGGTGAAGGCTTCGGTATCTTACTTTACTGTCATAAGTTCTACACGATGAGATAAATGAATTATATGATAAAATAATAAGACCTTGATGAAAAAAACAGTACATTTCATGTGGCAAAAATAGAAATTTAATTTTTATATACATTACAGTGATATGTATTTTAAATCATAAATAAAAGATAAATAAATATATGTTCAAAATTATTGTATTAAATATATTGATTATTAAATCTTAGTAATTTATAAACCTGGACGTTTTCATTTGTTATTTTAAAAATAAGTAATAATATAAATTTAATTAATTTTACTTTAAATCAATATAAAAAATACGAAAATAAAATAATTTTGATTGAGTTAATTCTACGTTGATTTAATTAACTAATGACACCTTTAAATTTTTATCTTTTTGATAATATGTATTATACACATATTGAAAAGTTTTGAAAGTGTACTACGCATAATATATTTCTGTATAAGAATATAATTACTTACTTTCTAAAAAGCAATAATTTCTAGCAAATTTACACCTGCAGAGTATTATTATAGACAGTCGATTATATCACATGAGTGCGCGTTAATGAATGAAGTTGTAGTTCCCGAAAGAATGGATAGCGCATGTGCGACTTTTGTGCAGATGGTTTGCTCATAAATATTTAATTTTACAAAAAAAAGACAGCCGTTAAATTACTTTCCATATAAATAGATTTCCCAAGAGCATTTGCTTTATTGAAAAATTTATTAAATTACATTTGTTTCGCCTT